CATGTTTGCAAGTTGTTTTTCCATTCTTTTTAAAGAACTGCATTGAACTTAAATACATGGTTGAGAAAAGATCCATTAGAATTAAACTGCGTACACTGTAAGCTACTGTCAAACTTCAAATATTTCTGGTTTCCTCCCTCTTATTCCTTTTATTTTCTCAATAAATAATGCACTTGTTCAGTAAGTGAAATAGACTGCTTCAGTAGCCATCATGTACTTTATTTTTGCTAAGCTTTTGTCTGTTTTTATATCATCTCATTTTAGAGAGATGGAGGAAAAAAGTCTTCTCACTTTTTTTTTTTTCCATTTAAACTTATTGCAAATTAGTTGAAAGGTTTTGTTTTTCCCTAGTGCATCTTAGGTTTGGTGTAATGGATACCATTGAGTCCTTGACACAGCATAGGTAGATAAAACATGGGGTGCCTATAGTGTGTCTAGATATTCAACATTAGTTTCATTAGTTTCTGAAATTTCTGATATATCCTTCCCCACACTGCCTCCCTCTTCCCCCTCTATAACCTTTTACTGTTTTGTATGCATTCTCATACATATATATATATATATATATATATATATATATATATATATATATATATTATTTTTTTTTTTCACAAGATAATAGAAAACTACTTCCCTACTCTTATAAATGTCAAAGATGTACACTGGGGATAACGCGGGAAAAGGTTCTGTTTAAAATAGCCCCAGCAACATCGAGGCAAGTAATGTTTTGTTATGTTGCCTGGTGAGCTAACCCTAGAGCAAATCATGCAGGAAGATGAATATGTTTTGAAGGCCTTTGAGAACAGTGATTATTCTTCAAATGTATCCTAACTGCGGAAACATGCCTAAAAAATAAATGCTTTATTTACACAGAGAGAATTCATAAAGTGTTCATTATCTTTTAGAAAAGTTTCATTGCCTGTTTTATGTGTAAGCTAAAAAACCTACTTTTGTGTTTACACCTGTCTAAATATTTCATAGACCCTCCTGCTATTTTCTTGATAGTTTGATTTCCAATCTCAGGTTGGCACCTAGAGATAGATTTTCAGTGATGTTCAAGAATGTGCATGTTGCTTGTAGCACAGCTGCCTCCATGTGTAGGTGATGGGCCAAATCTGTGTCCATACATCGGGTACTGCACCCACCATTTAAACGTCAGTGTGTCATTGCAACGGAGTCTCCAGCACAGAGATCAAAATAATATCCCTTCAAGACGTTTCATAGCTGAGCTCCACTCACACAAAGCAATAGACCTGTTTTGTTACTGCTGTCTTACTTTCCTGCCCAATATCCATTGTGGATCAATATCCATTATGAACTTTTTCCATAACTCAACATATTTATCCTCCATCCTCAAATTAAAAAAAAAAAAAAATAATAATAATAATAGTTTTTGAAGGTAAAAAGAATACTAGACTTAACTAAATATGTTTTAACTTGGTTTACATTTTAAAGCTTGGTTGAGTACGAGTAGAATATGTGCTTTTTTGTTTGTATTCCTAGTCTGAAAGAGTGAAATGGATTGTACTTTTCTCCATTACCGTCTTCTTGGTGCATCTTCACATAGGGATGTGTTTGCCTCTTGGGAAGTTGGCAGTGTAAGTGGCTGACAAACTAGCTAATAAATCTGAGGTTAATAGGGCTGTAGACAGCAAAGTACATAGGCGTAGGAAGGATCACCAGCCACTGAATGCTGCACATCTAGAAACTGTCAATACAGAGTATGAAAAATGCAAAGGACAAAGCAAAACTAGGAGAAGTTCCAGCTCATTTTTCTGCTTGCTGAAGCAATCTCTCACATCAGCATATCCTGGTCCTTTAGGGAAGAGATGTATTTAGGGCCTGATCTTTCTTCTATTCATACCACTAGAAAGTCTCCTTTTAACCTAAAGTGGACAGGATCAGATCATTAATGACTATCTCCCCAAAAATCACACCAGAAAAATAACAATGCTTCAGGTTATACCAAAATCTGTATACCAAGTAGCTCTCTCTTGCCTATTTTTTATTTTTTTTTCAAATTCAGTTTGAGGTATTTAAGGATGCATGTTAGATCTTTAAAGCTGATTATTCTAGTTCTCTTAATTAGTGGACCAAATGACTGATACAGCTGCTGTGCACTTGTGGTAGCAAGGACAATTTCTATCTGGGGAAAAAAAATCTTTTGAAGAAATTTTCTGTGCACTAAATTAAATCCCTTGAAGTAGCTTGTGGCCAGAAATTTGAGCAAGTCAGCATGGTGCTCTTGAACTCAGTGGAGCCACACTGGTGTCTGCTGCCTGTGATTGCCGTTGAATAATGAAATGAAATGAAATACTCCTGGTGCATTAACACAAGTATAAAGCAGGAAAGGGAGAAAAGATGTTGCGATTCTACTAAAACTGGTCAAAGAAATGAGAATTGCCAAAGACTTGCATCTTTGATGCGCTTTTCATTTATCTAAAACCGCCATAAAATTAGCTGACCAGAGACTTCAAGGTGTGCCATGCACATCCCCGTACTGCCGAGGAGACCCCTCCCGCACCGGGAAGGCTGCCAGGCTGTTCTGCTGCTTCCTTTGAAGGCACCATGCCCTTAAGGCCCCACTCTCTCCTCTTCCTTCCCTATGAGGGTACTTCTCAGATGCTTTTGATCATGGAAGGATGTTGCCACGAGGTTGTTGTTTCAAAAGGATCCAGGATGCCCCACGCCAGCTGGCTGGGGGTGACCGCCTGCCTCAGGGCTCTTCCCTCTTGCTGTGGGCACCGCATCCTCTGATGGCATTGCGCCTCTTGCAGGCAGCTGCTCACAGCCTGGGAGTGTTTTCCAGAGCAGGAGAAACAGCAGGCAGTGGGAGCCGAGGTTACTGAAGGTGAGCTGAAGGAGGAGCAGGCGGGGAGCAGCGTCCTGGCACTCCCATAAGGCAGATCCTTGCTGCTGTGTCACCACGAAGCGTATCTTCCATGCCATGGTGTTTTAATATTGGATTAGTGCCATCGCTCAGGAGCATTATTATTTATTTATTTCCTAGATAGGTTTGAAGCTAAGGTGCTGGTTTTGGCAGTGATGGGGCATAGCCTGCCTAAAGAGGGAAGGGAGCAGACAAGCCTATTAACCACATAGGACCATGGGTTCATACACAGAAGTCTTGTCCTTTGGAAGGGTAATCTGAAAGGAGGTCCCCGTGGTACCAGGTAAGCACAGCACCTCCTTTAGTATTGCATAAATAATCCTCCTGGCTATAGACTGAGTTAATTGCATGGTTAAGTGCTGGAGTGGGGGCACTGGAGTCTGACAGCGACTCACGACTTGTAATGTTATCTGGAATAAAGCCGTTATGGTTTGCCCTTACCCAAAGCTGAGGTTCACTGATGTACATCATCTTACTGTCTGAAAGAGGTTTCCACTATAAACATACATTACTCAAAATTAGATAGTGTTAAATTATTGCTCTGGCAGTGGGCAAAGTGAGCTTGCTGTAACAGAGATGGTTGTGCTTCTTTGTGCCCTAAAGATTCAAATTCTGTGACAAGACTAAGATTTGTCCATGTCAACCTAATCTGGCACTTGAGATTTCCTTTCTCATAGCCACACTTTTCACTAAGTCCTTGCATGCCAGGAAATAATTGTGCGCAAACTCAGAGAAGTTCACACACAAAATGCATGCTCTGACACAAAAGGCCCTGTCTTTGATTTAGTGGGCTATGAAACTGAATACTCTGGCCTCATTGGTATTCTCTAGTGGTTTTGTGTTTTGTTTTTACCTGACCATTAAGTGTTTTAACAACATGGATATTGGGTATGGAAATGGTGCAATTTCTAATGTTTTTTTCAATACTACTACAAGAAGTATATATGCTATGGAGAAAGTACCAGTTGCTCTGGCTTGCGAAAGAGAAGCTGCTGTAGTTGTCTTTTTATCTTTAAACTCTTTCAATAACCATCAAATATGGACTACTGTCAAAGGAGGGTTACTGTATTAATAAACCTTTGGTCTGTTGCAACGTGCTCCTTAGTTTTCCAGAACAACAACAACAAAGTTGCACTTATACTATGCCCCTAAATTTACAAAGGCTTTTAATTTTCAATACTGCATTAATGTTGAAAGATATTTCTGATTTATTCAAAAACATGCCTTTATTTCACACTCATCTATTGCAATGAAGTCATGATGCTTGTGCCTACGACCCCAGAGTCAGTTGTCAGAGAAATAAATGTGGCAACACAGATTCAATCCAGGGCTTCAGTGCAGCATCGAGTGCAAAGAACATAGGAGAAGATAAGTGCCTTTCTGAAATAGAAACATTTATTAGAAAAATCTATTTGTTTTTGTCAGCTCTATTTGAACAGAGTGTTTCAGTGTCAAAATCTCCACTTAATTGAAATACATATATATTTAAGTTTTGCAGTGATCCCATGCTCCTGGGGCTTATCCAGATTCCACTGATAGCAGCTGAGAGGTTCCTATCAATTTCAGTAGACTTTGTTTATGCTCTCTGTTAAAAATCCGTATTTTTGTCAACATTAAACTGAATAGTACATATTGAAAGTAAAAGAGTTTGTCATATAACTCACACTCAAAGAACCCAGATCCAATATGTGCAGGATTCTGTATATGTGCAACTTTTGTTTTCTGTCAACCTCCATTAAATATAAAGGGAGTAAGGCTCATCCTAGAAGCACTTAGAACAAGAATTTAAACCAAGAATGCTGAAGTATCAGAATTCTTCATTGCCCAAATATTTGAAAATCTGGCCTTCCTCAGAATTTTCTACCAAAGAAATAGTATAAATTTAACAGCTATATTTGCAAATGGGAGAAATACGTTCTGCAAGAGGATTTGCCTGAACTGTAGATTAAAATGTTTAAGGAGTATCATTCTTTAATTTTTGGCCTTACCTTTCGTGGGTTGTGATTTCATAAATTAGTTGTTTACCCCTTAGTCTTCGCTGTCTGAGCATTCAGGTTGCCTACACACCCCCTCACCTATGGGGAGAAGCCGGCAGCTCTGACCAGGAGCGGTGGTGAAGTCAGGTACGTGGAGTCGTGTGCTGGATGTTGCTGTTGCCTATGGTAGGGCTTTAAGTGACCATCTGAGAACAACTTGTAGATGGGTAAAGACGGGTGAAATGTGTGCTATCTTTAGCAAACAAGGAGTGTGACTGGAAGCCTTTTTCTCTGACCTACAGGAAAAGATGTGCTAATAAGCAGCAGTCAATGCATCAACCAGAATGGCTGCATTTTCACTGAAAGTTGGTTTCATGCTTAAAGGGGAGATGGATAATTAAGACTTCATCTTCCAAATTATTAAATATTGATTTGTAGACATTTAGCAGCAGGCATAAAGCTCTCCTGAGAACTGGCAGCAACTGTCTAAAAGATTATAAAAGATTTTAGTTCTCCACGTAGAATTTAGCTTTTTGTTTTCTTTTGTTTAAAATTTATGAAATGAGAGTAAAATAAATCAGGAGGTAAATTCTAACCCTCTGAGAGCGTGTGAGTTCTGTTCCATGTGGCCGTTCAGAGTCGAAATGGATGTATGATTTTTTTTTTTAAGGTTTGTATTGGCTTTTGGTTTATTGAAGTGTCAGGGGGTTTATAAGCTCTTCAACTCCAATTTTGATTGTTTTATCCAACTACTGTCACTTCTTATCAGTATTAAAGGCAGAAATCAAAGCACGGGACCCATGGGAAGTGGCGTTTCAAATGTACACCACTGCTCTTCTGTGTCACTGTTCTGAACTACGCACCCTCCGCTCCTGACAGCACACCCACAACAAGATAAAAAGGTAAATTCACGCTTTGTTAATCCATTTGTGAATTAAACAAAGGATTTTTTTTTTTTAACTAGTATTTTTTTCTTTCCACCTGCCTTGTTATTTCTTTATTTCTTAGGAAAACTGCTAAAATACAAGAGACCGCATAGGACAGCTTTGTTTAGGCAGCCAGTTTCTCTTCACCCTTCTGCTAATTTTAAGTTGGTAATCTGCATGGTTACATCTGTTCAAGGAAGTGAAAATAAAGTATTCCAGCTTAACTGCATCTTGCAGGTGTTTCTCCCTGAGAGAAAGCGACCCAGATACATTAACTGGAATTGAAAACTTAGCCCTAAGCGTGGTACTTGTTGGTCTGAGCCAAGTCAACCAGACACTGAGCTGCTCAGCATGGGCCCACCCGCAGGACACAGCCATGCAGAGGATTCCACGTGTGAGGTTACTTGAAAAGCTGTGCCTCTGTGGGAAGAAAATAAGTTAAAGGGAAAGGAAGAGTTAAGAAAAACTTTCTTTTTTTCCTTTTTTTTTTTCAGTTGTCTATGCATTAGAAACCAACATGAATTTTCACAGTCCATTTTATTTGGGTTAGCAAGTGTATTGAATTTAAGAGATGACATTTTCTGTGCTTTATTCACAATAGTTTCACGTTGATCAAATCTATTTCAGAATGTTCCCCATTTTATGCAGACTCACTTTAAATAAGTGTAAGCAAAGTATGTTCATTTTACCACTGGCTCGGTTTATTAGGTTTTAAAAGTGCATTTCCACTACACCATCAACAGCGGTAAGGGAAAAAAAGGAGTGGTGACGGAAAATCTGTTTGACAGAGTAAATTGTCTCTTTGCACATGTGTATAGATAGGTGTGTGGATTTATATGGGTGAAGTAATGGCAATGTTACTGATGGAGAAGGCACATTTTAGGATTATAATGACAAATCGTGAAAGATGACACACTTAAAAAAAAAAAAAAAAAAAAAAAAGATATATATTGGAGATGTGATTACTTCCTACCTTCAGCAAATGGAAAATTGACTGAGACAGGAGAAACCAGCAGGTTAGGGTCCAAACTGAAACACTAAGCTATGTCTACGTGGTAAGTAAAAAGTAATAATTACAAAAACAGTCATAGATTTTAAAGGGGTAGAAAGAGAGGCAATACAACTAGAAGTCAATACTTTCATATTACTTTAAACACTGCATTTGCAAAAGCAGATATTTCATGACAAGATCTTACAGTGGCATAAACAGGAGAAAAAAACATGGTGAAGCAGGCAAATCTGTACATTTGCACATTTGTAAATAAGCATATATATTTATTTTTAAATAAGCATACAATATATTATTATGTTCTTAGGATTATATTAAATTCTTTACCTACTTTGACCATTTCAGCTGGGCTGTAGACCCAGGAGGGAAATATATTTCATGTTGTTTTTATTTTGACAATTTTTATTGTTAAGTGTTGTGCACTGATTTTTTTTTTTTTTTTTTTGCGTGTGTGCTCAAGTTCGGATATTTGAATTCTGAGGCCCTTTTATTCATCCTGTCATCTGTCATTGATGTAACTGACTTCCATGACAGTGTTGACAGGATTTATCTAAGAGTTTGCTGGATGACACACTTTTAAAAATAAAATAAATAAAAGGGTCCATCATCTGGGGGATATGGGATTGGAAGTCAATGGGTGTTGATGGTGCTTAGTTTCACAAAGAGCTATTCAGGAACTCACCCAAACACCTCTTACAGATTTCTCTTTTTATATATGACCATGTTCATATTCCCTTCAGGTCGGAGAACAAAATGTGGTGGTGGTATTATTTTTATATTTATATATTTTTGCTTTTTTTCCTTTCCGTGGCCTGCCAGATAATCAAATATGCACGTGCATTTATTTATTTTTTTGACATTTCAGAAATACTAAATGTTGTATTCTGGTGATAATGCTTTCTGAAGAAGGAAGGAGATGGCCCATTTAATAATGTATACTTCATTTACAGTTTGGAGTGTTAGCCAACTACTTGTGATGATACTTCTTCCAGTCATAATACTGATATATGCAGAGTTCTAACTACATTTTTAAATAGAACAACAACTGAATGATACATTCAAAATAATTCATGGAGAGGAAATAGAAGTATTTCAGCATGGGAGAATATTTATGCATTATTTAACAGCAATAATGTTTGAATTCATACATTATGCAAATGCTGTTATAATCGGGAAAATGAAAGAACTTGGACTGCTGCAACATCTTTAAATCTACCATTAGGTACTTATTTGTGCATATCATTTAATACTGCACAATGTTACAGTATGTCACTTCAAAAGAGAAGTTCTCAGAGACTAACAGGTTATAAAATAGTAAAGCTGATGAATTCCTGATTGCTACCTTGATGCTAATGTCTATAAATTTATCAGCAAACAAGAGTAAAGGCTTTAATAGTAATTTACATGAACTCCTCTTCTGGAGACAAGTTACTGGGGTTTTACACACAGTTCACGTTTTGGTTTGTGATCCTTACCTATACACACCCCTACACAACAGACCAGAACACATTGTGGGCTGACACAGCCAAATTATATTTTCTTAATCTATCAGCAGCTACATTCCCAAAGTATCAAAACCAGCAAGCCTGGCCATCTAAAACCAAAGCTGGTTTAGTCTCCTATTATCTTCAAGACTAAATATAAAAATGTCAAGTCTCTAATTTGGTGAAAGGCATTAAGAGACCTTCCCTCTGACTTGTTTGATCCATTTGTATTTCTGCTTAATTAAATATAGAAAACTCCATATATGTGTGTGTTCACTTGATTGCAGTTTTCTAGTGCCACGTTTCCTTTATAGCACCTCTGCTATCCCAGTGAGGAGCCAGGAGTGGTGCAAGAAGGGCAGTGACCCATGAAGGCTGTACTCTCTGTTCTGTCTTTTGCCCCTCGGAGGCAAAGCCCACTGAGTTTGCTTGCTGCCCACCTGCACAGCCGCTCTATGGCTGTACTTTTTATAGGCTTGCTCTGGGCAACGTTCAAGATTTTTGGGTCTCTTAAGTCTGCACCCACAAAAAGTAAAAATGCACGGGATACAGGAAGAACAGAGTAAGCAAATCTTTCTTATGGAGAATGCTGGAGCTGGTCATGAAAACTATAATAATAAAACAACAACAACAAAATAGCCTGTAACTGTTTGGTCTGTTCTCTTTGGTCCCTATGGGAGTGAGAACTTGAGAAGTATCAGAGCTGACTCTCTTATGCGTTCCAATTTCCCACCTTTGGCAAATATATCCAAGAGAGAATGGGCTAGGAATGATTTTGCCAAATTAGATGTAAATGTTGCACCTGATTATTTTTTATTTATTTATTAAACCAAACTTTATGCATACTTAATGTACTAGCAGGAAAGATAAATGAAAAAGGAGCTTCCTAGTCCGCCACAGACTCTGCCAGGTGCCTTCTTACCTGGCCGAGGTTTAGGTCAGGATTTGGGAAAACAATACCGTCAGTAGCCCCAAGGGTGCAACGTGATGAAAGAAAAAGTAGGCTTTTCTCTTATAGTCCTTGAATGAACAAAATTTATTCCAAGTGACTTATATTACAAAACTCTTATTTTTTATTAATTAATATTTCTGTTAATGATAAAAATGAGAGCAAATAGAAATGAAGAACATCTGTGCTGAGGGAGTAAACCATTTTCCTTACCCATTAAATGAAGGTGGCCTATCACTAGTCAAGGAGTTATTTACAGAAATTGACAGCAGAGGACAATTTACGCTCTGATTTCCATGTTGGAAAAAAAAAGCCATCAATCTGGCAAGTCTCATAAGCAATATATTCATGTAATAAATAGCTCAGGAATTCAGAACAGATATCCTTGCAACTGGGTGGCATTTTGACACGTTTTGGGTGCTTACCAATTTGAAACCAGGCCACAGCCTGGAATTTTTACTGTGCTAGAGTCCTCCAGAAATGATTACTTTTTATGGCAGAGTGGATGCAATACTGTTTGCTCCTCTATCATAAAGATTGTGCCAGGGCTTCTGCTATAAAATCTCTGTTGCTAACAAGAAAACACAATTCAACCAATATATTGTGCTCCTGGCTAAGAACTGGCATGCAAAAATTCATCCTGGAAATTTTTATTTGAAGCACATGACACTAATTTCTCAGAGTGCAAAATAATGCATGAACTCCCTTTTGCTGAGCATTAACTAATTTTTATGGCATTGTAGTAATCAGTTATCATAAAGCTGGTTTGGAAAATAGCGGGACAGTAAGATGCAGCAGGCACTGAGGGTGCAACAACATGATCGGCTCCAGTGCCAACTGGAGATCGCCAGATGATGACAAGGAGGAGACAGGGCTGTAGAAACTGGACTCAATATGCAGTGCAATGGGAAATCAATTAACGTGGTATTAACTTTGGAGTTGTTACACGTTTAATACAGACCTCCCTATTTTGCATAGCTTTGATAGTGATGGGTGGGTGCTGGCTATGCAAGAAGAAATTGGAAGCTGGTTATCACCGCAATCGTGCGATGAGACTGTTGGACTGGCTGCTTGTGCGAGGCTGAGCCGAGGGTTAAGTTGGTCTCAGGTGGATTTCTGTGCCAACAGTACCTGAATGCATTGGGAAAGCCCAGCCTTATGTAAGACAATAAGTTCATATCAGTTCAACCCCTTCTCCCTCTGTCTGGAGTGCGCATTTTTGGACAAACACATGGTACTTTGTTTTGTCGAAGCTGCCCAGCGTGTCTGTGTTTTCCCTCTGATTACAGCTCCTGAGATGAAATTTCACAAAGTGCCAAATCCAGACAGGCTCTGTATGATTAACAAGGATGCCTGCCTCACCACAGAGGTGTGCAGAAACTGCAGCAAGCACTCAGCAGAGCTGCTTGGAATGACCAAGATCCAGTGGTATGGTTAACCCTGAGCTGTCACGCTGTACAGATCTCTTCTGCCTAATGCAACCCTGGCGTTGTGGCGATGCGGGCAAACTCCAGCTGGAGGAAGGGTGTGCTTTGCTACGAGAATGCAGTCCCTTTCTGTAGTAGTTGAGCTATTAAAATGGGAACATGATATTTTTATAGATTTAGAAGAGGGTATACTAAATGATGACTGTAAATCCTACACAGTCAAAAAAAGACAACGTAACTTGGTTGGGATTTGTTTAATAGTTCAGTAGACTGGCTGCATGTGGAAAAGGATCTCCAGGTTCTCTGCTTCCCTCAGGTCATCTTGTTTTGGAAGAAGACTATTCTTCTTGCTCCTAATAGTTTCTGATTGCACTCAGGACATGCTTCAAAATCCACTGAAGTCAACAGAAAAATCCTCTGAGAGCACCAAAACCAAATTTCTGTAATTTTCCCCATTTGAGATCATCCAATGTCTGTCCCTGGTGTGCTGGGATAGGTCCATAATACTTGCATGAAATTAACTCTGATATTAAAATTGGCACTGACTTTAAAATGATTACCCCAGTCTACTGTGTTCTGGTAATCCTTGCTTAAAGCACAGTTTTAACATGTGTTAAATTTTGTGCTCATCACTTGCATATTCTGATACTGAATAAATATGCACATTTATGTACACCGGCGATATACTTCTCATACGATCATCTGACTTTGCTTCTCCTAGGAATGTGTAATGGATGCATCTTCTCTGCATCACAAGAAAAAGGCTACTTCAACCTAATAGAATATTTTAATTTCAGATGGTCAAAATGGTGCATCTTCAACACAAGGTTGTCTGCAATTGTCAGTATGGCTTTCCTGAGTTTGCTGATTCCTTTGGGTTTTAATTAGAAACACTTCAGCTACATTCACCTAAAGTGTGCAAATGTTGAGGCTCCCACCAACAGTATTATTAAGATGGCTTCTTAATTGATTTTTATTTGGGAACAATTTGTTTCTCTTCCAGTTTCTTGTGGCAAACACTGGCATTTGTCACTTCTTCCAGTAACTGAAGCTTTCTGCTTTAATAAATGCACATATTAGATGGTATTCTCTTTCAGCTTGATAGGTGTATAGTGTCAGGCAGAAGAAGGTCACAATGATGTTAAATTTGCTGCTGAGCAAAGGATCAGAGTGTAAATGAAATCTTGAAAGCTGGGAAATGAGAATGTGCAAGTGTAAATAATGTATTAATTATTGACAGCTAAGGGACCGAAGAGTCCTATTTAGTAATGACATCTTCATTGTCACACTGCTTTGATACTATCTCAGGTATTTTTATTTTAATAAAAGGTTTTCCTCCCAAGACAGTAAGTATTTCAATTTACCAGTGTACCTTTATTGATATTTTTCATTTTCTTTGGCTTTTCTGTATCTTACTGTATTCTAGGTCCTTGGTTCAGGAAGGTATGGGGGAGAATGAATTCTCACTGGCAAGCGATATTACTACAGTACAAACTCTTTTTCTTATAATAAAAGATCACAGTGCTGAGGTTGAAAAGGCGATTCCACCTTGTTGGTTGTTTATGGAAGTTAAGATATAGTTTAGGAAGAGACGTATGATAGCAAAGGGCTTGGTGCTACCAACAGGTCTTTATAGCAATGACTGGTGCTTAACATACACAGGGAACTGAATTGCTTTCCTGCTGGCTTTCCCAGGTGAAAAAAGGGGAGGTGTTTACCAGGTAAGAGGGTTTTAATGCTTTGTACTTTCCAAGCATTGCACAAGGTCTAGCAGCAGTAATCAATCCTTTATTATTTTAATGTTTTTTGTTACAAATAAATGCGTTAAAAATTCCATGATCCAAAAATGTCTCAGTTTAATAGCTGTTTGCATAATGCTAAATAGCTAGGAGCTTGCAAACAACAGGATTTAAATTTAATTAATTTAAAAGATACCTCCTGAGCCTTGTTTACCAAACAAGCTAAGAACTTCTCTCCTTCTAGTAGCTTAACCTGTGGAGGAGGTCTTGTCTCTTCTGCTTCCCAAGCCCTCCAGCTTGCTCCACGTGTGATGCCCAGCATGGTGCAATGGCCTACACCAGCTCTACTCTCCGGCTGTGTTACCTTCAGACCACCCAGCAATCCCTGGCCCCTGCTTTAAAACTGTTGTTTTGTTTGTTTTTCTTTCCTTCCCATAAATACCAGGCTTGTTCCCTTCTGTACTTAGAACACAGCAGTTTGGGGAGGTTTGCAAGGCCCACTCTGGATCTAAGCAATGACTGTTTGATGCTATGCTCAGTGCAATGTGAGGAGCTCCTTTCACTCCTGTTTACTTAGACAGAAGGCAAAGTCATGTAGGTTATCTTTGCATTTGGCAGATAGCTGGAGCCCTTTTGCAGGCAGCCCTGGGCTGGGGAGCCCGCTGTTCAATTCCCTGGAGGACAGAAGATGCTACTGAAAGCTGGGGGTTAAAAGAAAAGACATACTTCAGGTGCTCTCCAGCCTGGTGATGGTTGTATTTTCTTTATCCTTTTGGATTAGAGCAGGGTGACATCTTGCAGTCAAATCCTGTTTTCCCTGAAAAATGCCAATTCTGGTCTGTGGACTTGTTTAGCAAATTTCTGTCAGCTTTTGTGAATTGTTAGAGATGATAAATCCCGGTAGGCGGGGAGGTGGAAAAAGTGAAACCGTCCCATTTCATTGTTTTGAAAAAAAAAAAAAAAAAGACGCTTTGGTTGCATCAGAAAGACCTCCCAAAGTTTTACTACTTTGGTCAACAAATACTGAAGTTTTTACATAAGCTAAAATTAGTGAGACGTTTCACTTGAAGATAATTTTTGCTTTTTTCAGCTCCATAAAGCCCAATGTGGTTTCAGCCAGCAGTGTGCTACCTAAGTAGTGAGCAGAAAGTGCACAGAAGTGCCCAGCGTTGTCAGCGCTTCCCTTGGCGTTGTGCTCGTGGTTCTGCTGCTTCTTCTGCCTGCCGTGGTCTCTGTGGGGAAAAAGGCAAAGTCTTGTTACAGGTATGTTTCCAAATGTATAAGCCACTTCCAAGGTGTTATTTACAGGTGCTGACACCACTCGGGAAAATGGTGACTCCCTCTTTAGGTCTGTTGTTACTTACAGGTTACATCTCAAACATTAAAAAAAAAACACCGTATTTGATGCTTCTTCCTCTGCCCAAGAATATAACTTTATCAAAATGAAATTTCCTGCTCATGTGAGCCAGTCACCATAGAAACAGTACTATACACCTGTGATGTGCGGGCATACGCCGTTACAACCTATGAACTAGCCTGAAGGAGCCATGCCTCATCCCCCTGCCAAAGCGAGAAGTGCATCTCCCGTGTATCCATGGCATCTATTTCTCGATGGTACATATGTGTGGTCTGTAGGTAAGATCACTTTATTCAGAATTACTACACTTACATTTAGTAAATAAATACAAATATGCTGCTAACATGAAGTTATACACTTGCAAATATTCAATATATTCTTGTCCTGAGGGAAGACTTTATAATGCAAACGTTATACAAAAATAACAGCTCATGTTTACATTTGCTTCTGTAAGAGTTTCCTAATGCAAAAAAATTCATAAAAGGCCTTACTCTTGCAAATCTGTCAACCTGTTAATAGTACATCATTAAAAAGAGAATAAAGCAACTGCATGGTGAATTATTTAAATATTGTTTTAATAGTAAACTGGAAGTAATTATGCACCTTTGGCTATTCAATATTGCAAATAGCCTATTGGTGTTCACTCCATAACTTCTAATGAAATTGAACTCACCAGTAAGAAACAAATGGCTGCGTTTTAAAGAAACCAAAAATTATTTCCTCAGGTCATTCATAAGGTAGATCATTACAGAAAAACATTTTCTTATGCAAAGGAGGGGAAAAAAAAGAAAATAGCTTATGAATGCAATGGAAATTGTATTTTAAGCTTCCTGCATTTATTAGCTTATTTAAGAAGAGGCAAACTTCAAAGAAAAATTTCATTTGAAATATGTGCAGTATAAAAACCTACATAATTATGGGTATTGCTCTCAGATGTACTATATATGACTAAACACACCGGTTACTGCCTGTTCCTGTGCTCCGACGTGTGTGTTCTAGTCTTTGCTCTCAGATCTGCCCTCTTTTCCCTTAACTCAGCCTTGTCCATTACAGAATGCAGGGAATGCAAAAAGCCAAAGGTGAGAATTACGACAGAAGATACCCGCACACTTTCCAAATTCGATTGCAGCAGGTTGCCTGAATTTTTAGTAGCACACTTTGATAGTGTGCTTGCACCTTTTTTTATTATTATTATAATCCTCATTTTTATGCCAGTGAATCTGGGGCTTCTGCTCTCACAGCAAAATTTCCTGTCCTTGTTCAGTAAACAGGGTAGACAATATTGTTCTTTTCTTAGTCGGGAAGAGAAGTCAGGGCCTAGTGACTCATCCTCATGCAGGCTGCAGTCATTGAGGCAGTTTGATTACAGCTGGGAACTGGATGAAAAGAGAATGCAACTGATTTTTTTTTCCTTTTTTTTTTTTCTTCCTTACCAAGAATTTAAGGACAGGAGACAACTATCTCCTTTTTTTTTTTTTTATATAACTAATTTTTTTTTCAAGTGTAACTGTTTTCAGTTTTTCTACTACGAAATATCTGTCTCTTATAAGCTGCTAATACTCTGCTTTAGGCAGAACACGGTGCTTGGAGCTTATGGAGGCTGATTTCAGGGAAACTAGCAGCATTATTGATTTTCATTGGGCTTATTAGGATCAGCGTAACATGCACTTTTGCTATACTAGATTGTATTTGGCTTTCATCATGAAATCTCATTACACTAAAAAGAAATGGAAACAAGTTATGCAAGTAAAAGATTTTGCAGTGTACTGTAATGAAATTACTTTGCATCTGTGAAAACACACTTTGGATGTAGGTTGTACAAACCCTGTATGCTGCTGGTCAGACTCTGTTCCCATTTACTTTTGAAAATGAAGAATAAATTCTCCAATGTTAGAGGAATTATTTCAGATTCATCCAAATGTAAATGAACGTATAGCTTGGCCCTTGAAGTAGTCATGCTATCTGAATCCTGATGGTGAATCAGTGATTGCCTAGGAAAGAGAAGTCCCACTTGTTTGCATGCAGCTGGCCTGGAATATACAATAACCTTAGAAGGGTGTGTGAATTGCATGTGCTGACGGACACTCTCCTTCCCCGGGCCAGGATGTGATCAATGAACAATAAGCTTGTTTTCATCTTCTTTTTTATTGTGGAGCACTAGTTACTTGTGATTTGCCTGTTGCCATCGGCAGAGGAAGATGAGCTTCGAAGCACAGCATCGAAGGCGCAGATCCTCCCCCTAAAGCCCAGAGGAGATCCAGTTGCCAGCCCAGCCCTGTTCTCTACCAATAATACTCACACGTTCCAACTCTGACTCTTCTCCAGTATTTCTGTACTACAGGTGGGTCTGGGCCTTTCTCATATTCTGCTAGCAGGGTGGAGGTAAAGTCATGTGAATGATTTCCAGCCCTGGAGTGCCTGACACAGAGGGCTGAGGCTGGGGAGGCAGCGATGCTGTCCTCCTGCATTGGGTGGCAGCAAGCCAGCAGGACACCTCCGTGGGCCAGACCTTCTCTCATGGTGTGCTGAGCAAAATCACGGGGCTGAGGAAGCGGATTTTGCTTGTTGCCTTTTTTTTTTTTCTTTCTAAGAACTTTAAATTGGCCATGTGGAAAACATTTCACTGAAATCTATACTTATTCTGTAAGAATGAATCAAGATTCTTGAGCTGTCAGGGAAAAAAATATATCCTCCTTTGGTATGTTTTGATGGAATATCTTAGAATCACATTTCCTAATGGCCAGGATAATTTTATTTCTGTAGCTGTTCTACATCTGGTGAAAGCTTCTCTTTAGAGAAGGCAAACAGAAAATTAACTTTGAAGAAATCTAAGAAATCTATTTATTTATTTATTTATTTTAGTGGAGAAACTTTAATACCCTGAATTGGACTGATCATGTCCTATGCTGGAAAGCTCTTTTCCAGAAATTTTTCAAACCCAAACAGCAAAATCCTGAAGAGGGAGATCCCTTGCATATACATGTGATTGTCTTATTTGTGGAAAGGGCTCTCAACCTGCTGACCACACAACTTTATGGAAAAGAGCTCTCCTATGTTGTTGACAATTAGTACACTTTTCACTTGTAAAATAACACTTTCAGCTAGTTCTACAGTATAGTAATCAAAAGCATGTAATTCAGCTGATTGAAGTTCCCTGTTGGGCTCTGCTGACCAAATGAATACACTTAGTAAGAAATTTCAAGTAGAGACTTTACTGCAAATACTCATATTCGTAGATTTCAATTAAAAATTATGAGAACTGCACATCAAATGAGAAGAGGTCTTGTTCCCTGGTGCAGCTCAGTGAGACCTATTGCTGATGTGCGGCAGGAGAGATTTTATGGTGTAAATGCAGGTAAGCACTTAATTCAGATCTCGGCTTCAAAGTCAAATTAATTGAGTGATAAAAGGACTTTCTTTTTGACCTCCTACCAAAAAAGCCCCCTAAAATAAGTTAGCTTACTACGGCAATGGTAACAGGTGCTATTCGTTGTTATTGGGATTCTGTTTGTTAAATATTAATCTAAAATAATTTAAACACAATCTTAATAGCCTTATTTTATGTCTCTTATCTTGATTTTAAAAATTGGAGCATTCCCCTCAGTGCAGTTAATAGGGTCAGCCTGTGAGCCTGTGCTGGTTACCATGCCTTCAGTCATGTGGAATCCAAACAGCCATTATAATTTGTTTCTAAACAGATCAAGAGCTATTTACCATCTCAATGTTTTGTGCACAGCTGGGTGTCTGGCAAACATCCAATATCCATTAACATTTAAAAATTAGTCCCATAATGCATCTTTTCCGTGGCTTGAGGAGTATACACACTGACACATGTTGGGAACCAATTATATTTGCACCACCATTAGTCTGGCTGCATTCAACTTCCCAGTAAATGAGGGCTAATTTAGTTTCCAGAATGGTGTATCTTAAATTCATGCAATGACCTTAGAGAAAGCAGAGTATCTGAAGATTTAAAGAGGAAGGAAATGTTCAGAAAGAATAATGCTTTCTTTTTTTTCTGCTGAAAACATGAGAGTACATTATTATATGTTCCCAGCATCCATGCCTGTCCCTGACAACCAGATTTCTCTAATTCAATACTTCTAAAATTCATGAGCAGAATTTATTTGAGAAGAAATCAGACTAATAGAGTAAACTAGTGATCCCTTCTTGCTCAGATCAAATGTGCTAATAGACCTTTTTATAAAAGCGATTTAAGACCTGCCTGTAGCAGGTCTAACTCTTTGGGTTGCCAACTGGTTTAAGCATTCTATTTTCCTACCAGCAGGAAAATAAGAAATACAGACTTCACAGTAAGCAATGTCTACACTGCTTGTGAAATGTATTATAACAGTGCCGTGCAAGTGAAATGACCTTCACAATTGGCAGTTTGGCAAAAGAGGTTTAATGAAAACAGAGATATACAAAAACACTGCCTGAGAAATATAGTTTGCCAAACCTCTGCTGCCATGAGAAATTCCTTCAATAATATCAGAGGTGAAGCAGAGTGTCTATCTTGGCTGATGAGTAAGCGGGAAGAAAGGATTTTAACACCTTTCCTTGCAGTGTGCCAGTGCATCTCTGGGTAATCAGGTTCTAGACTGATCGGCGGCAGCTGCTGCTGCTGATGACTCTGCTGCAATGTACTGTACACAGCTTATCTCAGCTCGCTTCGTCTGTGTCATGCTGCTTAATAAAACCAAATTGCTCCTACAAACAGAACACTGTTCTGCAGCCTTTTAGAATTCAGAGATGCTTTAAAAACCCCATTTTTCTTTAATATTCCTCAGAAGCAGTTAGAAACTCAGGAAGACAGGAATTCTCTAAATGGGCATAAAGCAATCTGGTGAAGCAAGCCTGAGTGACGAGTCTGCTTCCTGCCACAGCAGCGAGCACCTGCAGGAACTCTGTCCTGTCAGCACAGTGGTTTGAATGCAGTAGCTAAAGGAGTCTGTCTGGTGTGAGGTTGCAGGATGATAAGCAAGTTTATTACCGTTTCATATATAAAAATATTTATTTGCATATCTTTGACATGCAGTATTTGATATGTATAAACAAGTTCTCCTGTTATGTCCGTACAGTTCAGAGCTGGCCTTTGTCATGGGTTATTGCATCAGCATTCTTTCTTTCTTTTTTTTTTTTTTTTTGTTTGTGTAGCTTTTTGGTGTAATGGTTTATTCCTTGAGGCTGTTCTTTTGCAGAAGTTCAGTGTACAGTCAGTGTTTACAGATGCTCTTTATACTGCAGTTGACTCAAAATACATGGCTTTTTATTTTATTGGTTTCAGTGGAACCCACGCTTGTAGTCCCTAACAATAATACATTTTCATGCATCATTGGCAATGCAAGGCTTCATTTAGACTATTGATTAACATTCTTATTTTATTAGGGCTTGTTATTGTTTCATACCTTTTTATTGTTTGGTGATTTCAAGAATTGACCTTTGCAGATTTACAGTATATAAGCAATTAGCCAGTAATGGATTAAATTAATAAAGAACATTCCTATCAAATTTTGGGGCTTCACAGATCTATCATGTTATGGCACTGTCCATTTTTTTATTTATAACATGCGTAACTGCTTTACTAGCTCAAGCCCACATATGAGAAATCCTACTGAAGACTCTTGAGTTGCACTCAGGAAGATGATGCCACACTGCATGTTTACAGTTTGCTGTGCAAGTGGGTAGGGATGAGAACTGTCAGGAAGGTTGCAATGTTTTATTTTTCTGTCTTGACAGTCTCTTTTGTTCTTCATTTATAGATTTAACAAAACAAAACTTGAGCTAATTTTAATTTTTAATTAAAGTCATTTATGTTCATACTGTTGTATTTGGCATGAAGAAGAATAAAAGAAAATACAGAGAATCTTGAAAGAAAAATGCATTTCTTCAGCTTAATTATTTAGTTTCCAACTAAGAAACAGCTCTGCAGAGGTTGATTATCCTTCAGGGATATATTAGAAGAAGTGAACAATTAGCTTGATTTTCTGTTGAATATGTAGCTTGTGACTCAGTATGTGATCTATTAAAAAGATGATAATTCCTCTTAAACTATGTGCTAATATACATGGAGTCTGTTACCAAAGGTAAGAGCCAGTGGAGTAATCCCATCTATCACTACGAGACACAGCTTTTCTGTCTTGCTGCACAATCAATGAGAATTTTAGGTCTCCTAAAGAATGTATCACTTATACATAGATTTAAGAGGAAGGTGAAGCTTTCTTGTTAAAATGTAAGCTGGAATACTGCACACACTTCAGGGCCTTGAGAGATGACGCAGGCAACTGAACATGTGAGCAGCTGTGGAAAGAGGCAGGAAAGGGTTGCTTGCTGTTAGCATCATCCTTCCAGAGGCAGGTCTGGCTGTCACAGGAACATTGCTGGGGCTACTGCATGGAGACACAGCACCAGAGTCCTGGCATGGTCTCCACTGGGCACACTGATTACAAGAGAAGCAGGGACTGGAAGGGGGATTCAAAAGAGTTGTCTGGTATTTTCTAAATACCACCACTGGTGTAAACATGGCCTGCAGCGCACTACCCCTACTTCCAGCTTGCTGCCATCACTGGCTTGGGAATACCCAGGCCACAGACTTTTTTTTGTACATCTACTGACCTGCTGTTTCATGCCTGGATGGAACACAGACATTCAAAAGATGTCGAAGTTTCATACAGCAAAAATAAAACACAGGTTTTCATTTGTTTAGAGGTTGTGTGTATGTGTTTTTTTAAAACTACAGGAAGAAACTGGGGTGTTTGAACTTAAAAATTGAGCTTTAATAAGGGATTTGCAGGAAGACAAAATTTGAAAAAGTACTGCCAAAATTCCTGCATATATCAATGCCATTTTGAGCACCTCAGCCTGTCAAACTATGCTCCTCCAAATACATATGGAGCTAATGACTGCCTGTGATGGGCCTAAATTAGGAGGCACCTGTATTTTTGACATTAAAGCTCCCATGGAATCTGAAATCTTGCTTCTGGTCATGTGTAGAAGTACCTCAGTCCTGTCAGGTACTGAGCTTGTGCCTTTATCTGCAACACAAACCCAGTGTTTTAATATTCCATGACAGTAAAATCTGGGACTCATCACTTCAAGGCCGCTCTCTAAATCCTTTCTAAATCTTCCCAGCACACCAGATGTAAGTGAGGAGAAAACCTGAGCTGTGCTCTCTTTCCGAGAATTGTGGCACAATGTTGGATAATCAGTCCCCCTTTGACTTTTTGGAATTGAATTCTAGGCCTCATTAAAGAGCACAGGTTGCCCCCAGCCCTTTTCATTGTTGCGGCTGCTACTGGTGAAGGCATGGGCTTAGCTCCTGGCTGCTGCCAGCAGCACACAGCAGTGTGTCTGCCTTTGCCCTGGTCCTGCAGTGCTGGAGATGGCCTTGCAGGAGCTCTACCTGGGTGTATGGGCCTGGCCAGGCCCAGGTTGGCTCCTGAGGAACCACCAACCTCCTCCTCCATGGTTTTTCCTGGCACAGAGGGGCCTTTGTGAACAGCAGCGTGCAGGGGTAAGGTAGTGCCAGCGAGCTGGTGGCTTCTGTGTGATCAGGGAGCATTCTCACCCAACTTTCCTTACTTAGTCTTTTATTTATAATTCTTTTGCTTGGTTGGTTTTTAAAACACCTTAGCCACCCTGTGGCTCTGCTGACATCAGGAAGCTGCCATGCTCTGGTCATGCTGCGTGCTGCCACTGTGGGCTCCACGCACGCAGCGTGAGTAATGGTGGCATGAGGGCCCTGCTGCTGCACTGAGCCAGGCCGGCGGGGCACAGGGGACAAAGCTGAAGACGCTGCCTGTTCCATTGCTTCTCTGGGTGCTGCTCTGGTGTATCTGATGGTGAGACTCCAAGGCCTCTATTGCACAGTGCTGGAATCACCAGAGGAAATGACCCCTGCGTAAAATGTAAGCAAAGGCCCCTTCGCCAGCAGCATCACGCTTCCTGCAGCCAAGGTCACACTTCATGGTTTGCTTCTGGATTTTGCCTTGCAGAAGTCATTAGGAGATAAAAGGCACGTAGACTGCTTTTCATGTGACGGTAGGCCTGTAAAAGGTGATTTTTTTTTCTTTCTGGTTCCTCTCAAGTGATCCCCTCAGTTTACTCAGGATATACAAAGTAAAACACCGGCACCGTTGTGGAAGCTATTTTGGTGTTGCTTCTTTTGCTTTGATTTTCTAAAGGAAGCCAGCGATGAGGATGGAGTTTGGCGGGATTCTCTGAACTAGGATGAAGCACACCTCACAAAATGGTACACGTCTCCTGAAGGGTGGTGTGATTACCTGATTGTAACCTGACTTCTTTTCTTTTCAGACCGGCTGTGTCCACTGTTAGAGAAGTGCTTCGGCCCGACTCCACCCAGCTGAGATATCCAGAAATTGGCACACCAGAAAATGGACAGATTTGCCCTGAGCATGATTTTTCTCATTTTGGCTCAGCTCCATTAATGGATTAAGCCATGGTTTGTTAAGCAGTGGCTCCTGTGGAAGTTACGGTACATTTTTGAGAACTGCTGCTTTAGACAGCAGCACAGCGTGATGCACACGGAGCTGTCGGCTGCGTTCACTGTGAGGTCTGGCCTGAGCTGGCATCACAGGGCGCCTGTGCTGGCCAGTGCTTATTTGTTTTACAGACACTTGCTGTAAAACTGAAATTATTGATTGGGAGAGGCTCAGCTGCTTTTTTGTTATTATTTTTTCATTTGTTGTGCTTGTTCCAGAGTAGCATTGCCCATGATAACGCAGTGTTTGGCTTAGCTTCTGTAACTTGTTGTAGAGGGAAAAGTTTTCACAAGCACTAAAGATCTTCTGAGTCACCCTGAGATGAACCCTATATTCCTGTGACTTGGAAAGACCCCTCTGAAACACTGCATGGTTAGATCGCTGTCTCATGTGATGCTGAAGACTGTGCTTTTATGTTTCAGCTTTGTCCAAATGGGAATTTAAGGATGGGCTCTTGAAGTGTGTGTGAACTGGAGCTGCAGGACCAACAAGGAGCATCTCTGCCCCATCTCTGCAATGACTGCACAACACCCACCTGGGGGACTGGCTTCAATGGCACTTACAGCTCCTTTTTTGCTTTTCTCTTACCTAATCTGGGCTACATGGGCTGTAGACATAAGGGGAAATTTAGGAATATTATTCTCAGGATCAGAAAAGATGTGATTTTTCCATATCTTAATCTCAGCTACAACTAGTCAGTAGTTTTCTAGTGAAAACAGAAACTTTTTGATGGAAGAAAAGAGCTGCAGAGCAGAGGTGGGATCTGCTTTAGCAGGGGGTCTGGTGGGGAGCTGAGGGCTGGGCATGGGGCTGGGGACCACGGGGGCTCAGAGCACTGCAGTCATGGCAGTGAGTGAGGGGGGCTGTGCTAAAGGTCCGAAGCTCACAAAGTGCATTCCTTTTTTAAGTCTTGCTTCTACATCTTGAGGAATTAAATTAGCATGTAAGCCATTGCTATGTGTTTGTGCCAAAACTCTACAGTGGAAATGTTCTGACCTGGGAAAGCTCAAGTACGCGTTTTTCTTAAAAGCTTTTGTGAAAGATATAAAACTGTAGTTTATTTCTTGTTGTATATCTGAGAGGTTTTACAAGAGAGTTAAAAACGAAAAACAAGAGAATTTAAAGAAATAGGACCTCCATTCTGACTGCTTAAAGATAGGATACAGCTGCATTTTCACTTCTTCGATTTTTCTGACATTTAGAATAGCAGAGTGGAAAAAAAAAAGCAAGGATCTTTTCAATTCATTGAAAAATATCTTTTTCATGTCTTACCAGGGTAGTGAAAATGTTCCAAGACACTATAGACATATATAAACACACATATATATATGTGTATGCCTTTATTAGAGGCGATTCTGAAGAAAACAATATGAATACAGAACTACTGTAAATGGCACAAATCCATTAAAGAATGCAAGTGCCAAGAGGCTGCTGTTGTGTTGAATTAAAGTTCATAAAACCTAAGGTTGCTTCCAAATTGAGAACTAACCTGGGAGTTTGGATTTAACACTGACTGGACCTGTCACATTTCCCATTAATGAGGCTTAGCTCTGAAGAAAAGGAGGGAAGGAAAATGGTCAGTGTGATAAGCTGTACAAAGCAGTAATTGGATCAAGCTGAGACATTGGTGGCCTTTAAGAGCAGCAGAAGAGACTAGTTAGGGGGTTGGCAGATGGATTTTTTTTCCCAATATTCAATTTTCAATATTTAATTTTCTCAATACGTTTTTATCTTCAAATTAGGATAGGCAGAATAATCAGTTTGTGGGCTCTGGGAACATTACACATTTTACATGGTAGGACATAAGTGGTTACACCTTTGCCAAAAGGAGGATTGCCTTCCATGCTGAGAAAATTTATCTCAAAACTTTGGGAACCATCTTCTGTGTGGCTCAGTGGCTGTAAGAAATCTTGGAGGATTTAAATTTTGGAGCAAAATGCCTACAGGAGGAGTTAGGTGAGAACCATACAGGTTTAATCTTGGTAAGTCCAGACCCATCGGGTGGATCTAGACCTCAGTGCAATATATAAAGCAGAAAGATTCTCTGTGGATGTATTCCAGCTCTTATGAAGAGTTTACAGAGAGTATCTCTAGGTATAGTAGAAGCTCATATCAGTGTGAATCCAAATTTAAATAATGATTAATCTTTTTGATGTGACCCCACATAATGCTTCATTTCAATGTAATTGGATTTCTGGAATAAACTTTGTGTGTTAAAACAGGATAAACTTCCTTTATAAACATGAGTATGTGGGGTAGGCATTCCAGGTTGGCCACGACAGTGCGGTTCTGTCCTTGCTTAACTGCAGGCATCGGTGTGCTCTCCTTGCACTGCAGATCAGGTACAAGTCAGTTAACATATGGAGGATCAACATCCTGTCCTGTCCCGTTCATTTAATCTTGTAGAGAAAATGACCTTCATTAAAGGTTTGAACTTGACATTTACTTTTCCACTCACAAGGTACTTCTGAAGCTGTATCCTGACTCTTGGCCCTACCTTTTGTAGCTCAGCATCCAAAGGGCTACAGGCTGGCCACGCAGGGTAGCCTACCTCATTAACACTATTTCCTACAGGTTTTACATTCTCAGAGATTCAATTTTCATTTGGGAGAGAACAGAAGTATCATATTTTGCACCAGAAAATTAACAGTTTACTAGTCATTTACTAGTTCACTAAAAAAAATTGGTTTTATATTTGTTTAGTGTATCTATGATGTTGTAGAAGGAAAAGTGTGATTGGTCACACTGTACCTATTCAGAGAATAAATCACAAGCAGATTGTCACACGCTACTTGGAGTTCACATTAAGAAACAGTAAGAAAGACCTCACCAACTTTTCCCTAAGTCTGTGGGAAAATGAGTGAAGTCAGCTCTGTGGGAAGTCCTCCTGAATATCTGTCAGGGCTCGCTGTATCATGTGCGATTTCTTACTGCTAGTTTTATAGATTGCACAGGTTGTGCCTGGATGTTTTGGTCCTCCCTGCTGTAAGCACTTTAAACAAACACAACAGAAAAAATTCTCAACGTACTGACACTAACATTCTTTTTTTTTTTTTTTTTTTTTTTTAATTCACAACCTAAATAGTGTTTTCCAATGGATAAAGATGATTGACATCTCCAAAGTTGCCATCAACAACAGTCCTGAATACCGAAATACTTTATAATAATTAAACAGTTTCTTCAGGGATCAAAGTGGTGCTATTACTGCAGCTCAGTTTCCTAAGGAAAGTAGAGCTACATACTCATGCTACAGATTTAATTCACCTCTTTCCCTCTTTTTGAACCTTTCAACTGTACCACACACCTTCAAATCAACTTGACAGCATAGATACCTCAAAGACAGCAAGCTGCCCTCCATTCTGTGGCAATCTGTAGTGTCATCACAGGGGGTTTGGCACTGTCCCTGAGGCAGCAGAGGCTGCAGGAGGGATCCCATTCCTAATGAAGGTAGTTAAATAAATAACATAGCCCTCTGTTTATGTCTCAGTTTATTATTCAGAATTATTATTTAGGACATATTGGTGCAAAACAAGATAGACTGAGAGAACGGTTGTGATGTTAGATATGCTCATGTGTGCCTTCCTTGCCTAGATGTGGTCTAAATAGAACAAGCAAACTCTTCTGTGTGAAATTTGTTATACGTATACATACATGAATGTTTGTGGGGAAGGAAAAGGTGGGTGCAAATCTCCACGTTACATTACACCGGTACATTATTACTTCTGTATTTTATCAAATGTTATTTTCAAAGGATTTTTTTTTTTTTGCCAATTAGGGCAACACCAACAACCCATAAATCTTTTTTTGTTTGTTTGCCCAGTGTAGAACCGTGCAGCCCCTACCTTCCCTGGCAGCACCAGACCCAAGCAGCAGTCCCCAGCCCTAACACTCAGTGCACTGCAGGGCCACGTGGCATGCTGCCCCTCGCACACCGTGTGCTGCTCCTGCCTCTCTGCTTCTTCAGAAGTGTCTCTTCTATGTAGGCAGCAACAACATGCCATCTGTTGGGGACATTAGCATACCCAAGCTGTATCCCTGCAATGCTACTAGACAGTATAAGGAATGTATTACCGGGATGTGGCGACTTCTATTTGCATTTCACACATTTAGCTTTGCTTCACACATTTCTCCCTCTCAGACATGATAAAGGGAGGAAGCGCTCTATTTCTTGTCAGGGTGGATGGATGGCACCCCTAGAAGAATATGCATTTGAAGCAATATGTTCTGCATCACTGACGTAAGCAAAGATGCTGTTAGGGCCCAGGCAGGTTTGTTTTCCCATTCAGAGCTAGTGAGCAGGGCACTCAGGGACTCAGTGTCCTTGAATTTAAAGAAGATTGAAACGTCGCTTTGTTTAGACTGAAGGCAACAAAGATGGGAGCAGAATAATGCTGGGGCAGACAGTAAACACTTGATTGCAAGCGTGGCATGAGCTTGCCCTATGTTTTGAATCTCACCATGGTGTTTATTATTCACCCCATTTCGTATTCTTTGACTCTGCTGTCTGCCCCAGGTTTGTTCTGGCACCTTACACCACATTTTTCTTCAGGCCTGAAATGCTGATTGTGCAGCTTGGTGGAAGAATATTCCATGCCCAAGCATTTATGAATGAAGGATTCCAGGATAGTGATGTATACAAGATGATTTCTTTCTGCGTGTATTTTGTCTTTTTAAGATTGAGAATTGTCCTCGTGGGATTCACTTGGTAGTCTCTAAACCCATCAGTTTATACCACTTGGCAGAGCTCCAGCATTCAGGGTGCAGAAATGTTTCAGAATTTCTCAAAGCAAAATTTTACACCTAGCAAGTAACGTCCCCTTCCCTACCCCACCCTTGGGCAAGTCCATCACTCCTGCTGATTGCCCGCTCCTCCTGGGGGTGCTTTCAGGTGGTCAACACTTGTCCCAACCTCATCTGCAATCTGCCAGGGCCATGTCTTCTATTTCTGTTCTCTGCTTTTGTTGGAATGGCAGATAAGCAGGAATTAAATGAAGGGGCAACACCTACACAGAAAGTTGTAGTAGATCTCAATGTAATTCCTTTAAATATCGAGATTTTTCAAACTTGGAAGTGGAGACCAAGAAACTTGTAAAATCATAGTTAAAGCTAGGTTGGGAAGAGAAAAATGCTTCTTTTTTCTAAATGATATTTGACAGGAATAACCAATTTTTAATACACTGGAGTTCTCTTAGTCCCTTGCTGAAGCTGAAGGAAAGAAATGGAGACAAATTCAATACAGTGGTTTTGTTTTGTTTTGTTTTGTTTTTAATAGAGAACACAATTTCTTGACATATTCACCATGCTTGTTGAATACTTTGCTCCTGCAAAAAGTCTCTAGAACTACAAAGTATAACTGTTTACAGATGGTTGAAGAGACTTCTGAAGCTGGTCTTCTGTACATTGGATGGATAATTAGAATGGCAAACAAGAATATATCTATAAGATACTTTGGAGTTCAACTATAAGGTATTTAATAAAGAGACAAAAATATTTTGGTTTGTATGTAAAGAGCAAAAGGCTGAAGACTGATCATCCTTTAGAATGGCATCTTATAAATGTATAAATTAATATATATTACTGTTTGATGAATACAAATGCATGAAATGCAGAGTGTAAAGAGTATAAAATATGTGTGGTACAAACCATGCTTTGATGTCTCCAGTCTTTGAAAACAACATCTGTCAAAGCATCTTTACATTTCAATCGTCAAGTTCTGTAGGATGGGTTTGCGTGGTAAACCATCAGCCTGATGTAATTCCTGCAAATATTTCCCTGCTAATAACTGCCACAATCACCCTTGCCATTTGGCTGCAGGATTCTGAAAAAAAAGTTTAAAAATAGCTCAGTATATAATCTAAACCATCAACTGCTCTCAATCTTCATTTCATATTTATTTCAGGGACTTCAAACACCACAGTGTTTGCCTGGAGAAACTTCAAGATGTTGTCATGCCCCTGCTAGTGAATTAAAGGTGGAATGGCTTCAGGCAATGGACAGGTGCGATTTGGCCCGCGGATCTGCCCTCTGGCCATGCCAGCACTCCAGACATACCTTCCTTATGGCTGCTTAGAGGTGTTCAGGTCTGCATCAAACACTGAGAGGATAAACAGGCTGGAGGTATGGGGTGGTGTACGAATGCCAGTATCACGTTCTTCCCTGTAGTGTCCACCAAAATGCCAGTGTGTCTTATCCTGTCTGATGTTAAATTCAGTACCCATTCACTGGTACAGAGCATGTGCAAGACCTTTGCAGCATTCAGCAACCACCAGACATATGTTCTGCTACAAGCAGGCATGTGGGCTACAATGATGTTGCGGGGTTTAGAGGGGAAGAGGTCTGAGGAGCAGCTGAGGTCCCTTGGTGTGTTCAGCCCCGAGCAGAGCAGGCTGAGAGGAGGCCTCATGGCGGCCTGCAGCTCCCTCACGAGGGGAGTGGAGGGGCAGGCGCTGAGCTCTGCTCTCTGGGGACAGCGACAGGACCCGAAGGAACTCGGGTCCATGGAGCTGGGACAGGGGAGGGTCAGGCTGGAGGTTAGGGAAAGGTTCTGCACCCAGAGGCTGGTCGGGCACTGGGACAGGCTGCAAACCTGCTGGAGCATTTGGACAACACTCTCAGACATACGGTCTGATTCTTGGGTGGTTCTTATGTGGAGCCAGGAGTCGATGAGCCTTGTGTGTCCCTTCCAACTCAGGATATTCTGTAATTCGATGATTCTAGGAATTAGGCAACTGAAGGCTGATACACTTTCCCACAGGCAGTGTTAAAAATACTGGATCTATAGCTTAGGCTCAGACATAGTCCCAGAGAGACAGGAGCTTTCCATCCTCTACAAGACAGGCTTCCAAAGGTCTCAGCTTTGTTTTGCTGCACATGTTTATTACTACTTTTTACAACTGAATTCTCAATTAACCATGAAATAATTTAGTGAAAACTGCATTAGTAAGCAGACTTGCTAAATTCATAATTAGGGTATTTTCAAATATTATGGATGGAAATTAACTTCCTAGGCTGACTATGGAAACAGTGCAGAAGACAGCAGGGTGTCTGGCAGAATATTTATGAAACGCACTCCGGTTTCGGCGGAGGACATGGTCTCGTTGGTGCGGAGCAGCATGGCTGGGCGCAGCACTGTGAGGGTAGGAAGCAGCTGGCACAGGAGCTGTTGCCTGGCATTGATGCTCGGGGGGTGTCTGCAAAGCATAGACCCCTGGGCCCAGCACGCAGGGGTGCTGCAGGCTGACAGCCCCGTGTGTAGGCCCACATGGTGGCACACCCTGCCAGCCTCCTCCTGTCCAAGGGTAGCTGTTTGCCCTGACTCGTACCAAAGGGTATCATTCTAAGAGCATACCTGCAGTAGGTGTGCACCCTGTAGGGTACTAGGGGGCAACATCATATGTCCTCTTGTCCCTCTGCAGCCAGGCACTGGGGGCAGCTCCCCTCTTGTATTGCAGGGAACCTCTGACAGGGAAACTGAGTGTGGCTGGGCAGTGCGTGGGCAAGTGAAAGGTTTTTGTAAGAGAGGAAGTCATTTTGATGGAACTAAAATTTTTCACAGAAATGACAGACTTTTGGTAAATTTATGTTGCGTAAAGACCTGAAAAAAATAATTTAAAATGTTTTGTTTGGAATATTTTTGCTTCAGAAAAGAAAATGATGGTTTCTCTTCTGAAAGTGTATTTAAAACTGCTCAATTTAAAATAGACTACTGTCATCTTTGGAATAGGAAATATTATAAACATCCATTTTTATGTTGTAATTTTAAAATAATTGTAAGCTCAACCTGCTGAAAAGAAACGGAGACACTGGTCTAGACAAAACAATGCCTTTCAGTGAGTTCTATGAGGCAGCCATCTTCACTGCTTTAACAAGGGACAAAAATAATCAGGAAACTTGCAGCATTTATATTACTTGATGATACCAGTGAACTGAATATCACCTAGTAACCCACCATAATGTAAAATAATTGATATATATATATACATATATTTTAATTGGAATGAGCACAAACATCCACCTGTAAAGATGTCCTGCAATTTTTTATTGCAGCAGACTGGCTGTAT